TTAAGAGAGTTCATCTGGGTTGCTACCTCTAATCCACTATCTTGGCTCCACCTCTCTGATCTCTTCTTTTTAATCAGATTAACTAACCATGTCCCTGATTATGCAGTTTACCACTAATCTATACTCTCCCCTAGCTACCTTCTCCACTCCCATCCCCACTCCTGCCCCCAACATTTGCCCAAAATCTCCTTCCTGAGTCTGTGCTTTCTCACTCCTCCAGGTGCCAGTTGCCCCTAGGGGTTCCAACACCCCCTCTCCTAATGTAGGAAAAGTAGACTTTTCAAGGACCAAATCCCACAGCTCTCATTTAATGTAAGGGCCTTATCGACCTTCATTAACCATCTTTCTTCATCATTCTCTGAATACGATAAAAGCATTCATCAGTGGAACCCCCCCACCTCCAAAGTAAAACCTCTTAAATTTTCAACCCCTTTTCAGTCTTTCCCCACTCTTCATCACCTACTCCCCTGTAGCATCTTCTCTCTCTGAGACAGAGATGACCTTCCCCTCATTGCTAACCCTGGATTTGATACCACCACATCACACATTTTTGCTAACACACCCTGTTCTTTTCCTCCTCTTTCATATCCCCTCCAATGCTGTAATATAGTTCCAAAAAAATTTTTTATTTACCTGTAGGCAGACTGTCACCAGGTTCTGTCTATAGTACCCCCATCCACCTCCTCATCTTTATCTCTTTGAGATTTCTGCCTTTATCCTATCTCCTTGAATAGATTTAGAAAACGGGCTCCTGGGACAGCCAGGTGGTGCAGTAGATAGATCACTGGCCCTGAAGTCAGGAGGACCTGAGTTCAAAATTGACCTCAGACAATTACTAGCTGTGTGATCCTGGGCAAATCACTTAATTCCAATTGCTCCCCCCCCCAAAAAAAGTAGTCTCTTACTGCTCTTTCTCTTGCCACTCTGTTACTGTTGCTGTCCTTAACTGCTACATTTATTCACTCCTGCATTTCTATTGTTTGGGGTATTGAAGAAACAAATAATATCTTCAGTTCTGGTTTTCTTTCTAAAAATGTTTCAAACTCTTCTTTACAATTGAATAGCCATGTTCTTTCCTGTATGGTTAAACTCAGATTTGCAGAATAGGTCACCCTGGGCTGCATCCTTAACTCCATTACTCTTTAGAATGCATTTTTCCATTCCCTCCTTTTTCTAGTGGGGGAAGAATAGTCTTGGGTTCTTTAACATGTCCTTTCCTTTGTATTTGAAGGTTTTTTTTCTTATTGCTTGTAGAATTTATTGTTTCTGAATTGAACTGTTAAATTTAACCACTATGTGTCTTAGAGTTTTCATCCTTGGTTTTTTTGTTTTGGTTTGGTTTTTTTATGGGAGTGATCTATGAATGGTTTCAATTGGAATCTCACTGCCTATGTTCAGAAGTTCCAGGCAGTTTTCTTCTATTATTTCCTTCATTACAGTGTTAAGATTTTTTTGTCCTGTCATGATCTTCTGGAAAATCTATGATCCTCAGTTTGTCTCTATACATCCTGTCTTTGAGGTAAGTATGCTTTGCTTGCATAGTGAGCATATTTTCTTTTAAAGTTATTGTTTTTTTTTCTAGTCTTCTACATTGTCCTTCACTTCTGTGCATTTGCATGTCCATTCTATTGTTCTCCCTTTTGTTTCTTTGGAGGTGCTTATGCCTCTGAGTGTGGTTTCCTTGGCAGTTGAATATACAAGTACTTCAGCCTCCTCCCACATTCAGGGTTGTAGATCTGTGCTCCAACTGATTTTTGGGTGGTCAGACCTGGGCCCAGTCAGATGCTGTGCTTTTTCCCTCAGGTTTGATGGAGTGCTACACAGCCTCTTTCCCCCCACCCACAACCACACACATACATATGAATATGGTGGCCTGTCTTACTCCCTCTGTTCCTCAGTTCTCTGGCCCGGAGCCAACAGTTCAGAGCTTTGCAGCACTGGCTCTTCCAGATTGCAGCCCTGGCTATCAAAGCCTAAGTCAGCTTCTGCAGCCTAGAACTGAGGTCTCCACGGCACCGGAAAGAGGGAAGAGAAACTGGGGTATGAGGGTGGGTATCATTGTAAGTCTGTGTTTTATGTCCCTGGGCCTGCTAGTGCAGCCTTCTTGGCCAATAGCATGGGAAGTGAGGTAGAGGTGCTGAGTGAACACAGGTTGAGTAAGTATCAGTTCGTGGGATTTTGAGGGGCATTTTAAACCTTCTTTTGGAATTTTGGTGGGCCATAACATGGAGACAGTTGAAATTGTTTATCTTTGGTTCATGATTTCTGTTTTGCAGGTATTTGCAGGGTCAGGGGGGTTAGAGGAAATATCTAGTCCTCCATCTTGCTGCTCACATGACCTCAAAACATCTCCCCATGCCTTTACACTAATTACACTAAGAGATTACACTAATGAGCCACCTCTTTGGCATTAGTCTTAACTCCTCACTCTCCCTTATCTCGCATATCCAATAATAAGTTGCCAGATTTTACTGTTTCTACCTCTACAATGCATCTGGCATCCCATCCCTTCTCTCTCTAGTCACAAAACCACCACCCTCAGCATCTCTCACTTGGCATGTTGCAGTGGCCTCCTGTTTTCTCTTCTCTACCTCCCCCAATCAATCCTCCACACAGCTACCAAAGTGATTTTACTTAAGGACAGCTCTGAACAAGTCACTTTTTTATTGAGTAAACTAAAGTGGCTCCCTATTACCTTTAGGATCAAATTTTTAAAATCCTTTGACTTTTGATGTCCTTCACAACTAGGCCCCAACCTTTTCAACCTTATTATATATTATTTTTATTCCTACTCTGTATAGTTCAACCAAAATGGAATTCTTTCTGTTCTCACCCATGACATTTCATTTCTCATCTTTGCACTATCTCATATCTGAAATATCCCTCCTTACCTCTACCTCAATATCTTCCTCCCAGACCTTTAGAGCTCAAGTACCACCTTTTACAAGAAGCCTTTCCTGATGCCCCTCCTGATAGTGTTTTCCTTCATTAGGGACTTGTACTGAACTATCTATTTGTTTTGTATGTACTCACGTTATACTTTGTATATATTTATGTTATTCTTTGTATATACTTCTCTGTGTACCTCTTAGCTTGCCAGATAGAATGTAAGATCCCTGAGAATAGAGATTGTTTCTTTTTTTTGTCTTTATGTTCCTACTATCTAGCAAAATATCTGGCACATAGTAAGTGTTTAATAAATGCTTATTGATTGATCAACTTGAACAATACCAAGGGAGTATATTCAGGAAAACTCCTACAGCAAATTCAGCATATCTACATCATACTTAGGAAATCCACACTCAAAATGATAGTGACTAATGAATTTGAGACACAAATTTAGTTCCTTCGTACTTTTCAACACAATAAATCTCTACAGATGAGGAGAGAGAGAGCTTTTTTCTATCTCTTCCCTATGAGTAGCCAGATCAGAATACAAAGAGAAAACTATATCCAATGAAAGCTCAGAAGCTTCCAACTAAGAACTATCACTCTTTTACCCATGTTGCTGGAGAGAAGAAATCACCTTTCTCTAGAAGATCATCAGACTAAGAAGGAAAAGAATTCTGCCCAGTTAAACAAAGACAGAATTAAAACAGAAGCTTTTGATAGCTTCCATCAGTTCTATTTCACAAAGAAAATAGCCAAATGAAAGAGAAAATTAACTTTAAAAACTGTCCTTGTTTGAAGAAGGGCGCAGGGTAGCTGCTTGGGCTCTTTCTGCAGCAAAAGACTGATTGAGCTCAGGTTTCAAAACTACTAAGTGATTTTCCTCTACCTCACCAACACAAAGACTTTTGCTATGATTAGATCAAAGAAACCTTTGTGTTTTAGCTGCTTTTGTTGTTGTTTAATCTTTTCATTCATTGCTGTCTATGATGAAGCAAATCTTTTGATATGTAACAGCCTAGGGACTTCCTTTTTAAAAATTCTATCTATACCATAGGGTTTGCTCCCTCACTTGTCATGTACAGGTCCGGCAATGGCTTACTGCACATGATCAGGCTGATCCCATAGGAAGATTATTTTGACAGATTATAGAGAATGGGATGTGGGGGAGGGAAGGTTGGGAATAGAAAAACCAATCAAAATGCTCAGTGTTACAAGAGAAGTGAGAAGTGATGAGAGCCTGAAGTAGGGTGGCTGGTGGCCATGTGAACTGAGAGGGGGATGGTATGTGAGAAATATTGTTGAAATAGAATAGACAAAGCTTGATTGGAAATAGCTGATAAAGGTCAGGAAAGAGTCAAGGATAACTCCAAAGTTACAAACTTGGGTGACTAGAGAATGATTGTTACTTTGAAAGAAATAGGGAAACTTGTAGGAGAAGTAACTCTAGGTGAGGAAGATGGATATTGTTTTGGACCCATTGGGTTTGAAATACCACTGGAGATGTCCAGTAAGCATCAGGGAATGCAGGACTGGAGCTCAGGAGACAGAGCTAGATATATGGACTTGGGAGCCATCTGTATAAGATTGATAACTGAACCCAGAAAAGTCAAGGGCAGACCTGTCTGGGGCTTCGGGGGGGAGTCCTAGGATATAGTTCTGAAAGGACCCTAGAAATCATCTGGTTAGAAGAGACTACAGAACATGAATGTTGGGAGAGAATAAGCTTTCTTTCCCCCACTCTCCCCTCATCGGGCTGTGCCTAAGGATTTCCAAGTCCTGTGGCAGTAATGTATTCCCAAGCAGGGCTACTACTTAATCTAGTCACACTGACCCCCTCCCTAACTCTCACCCTGAGGTCCTAACCTACAGGCAAAGTCATACTCAACATTCCTTTGGCATAGCCCTTCACTCACTACTTAAGACCAGTTGCAAACCAGCTGCCCTAGAGTGCAGAGTTGGCATTCATCAGCTTGTCTAGGGTAATAGAAATCTTTGCTCCTCCTTTTGACCAGTGAGAAGTAAGAGAGGGTGGCGAGGGAAGGTAGTGTGTGAGACATCCAGCGCAGGAATTGCTGCAAACCACTTGGCTGAGTGGAAAAGATTGAGACATGTACTTACTGGAGCTGTTGCTGGTAATGCTGCAGTTACCACCCCTATCTATCCAAAATTCACAGCAGTCAGAGACCAAGATTGCCATGGGGAAAGTGATCCTTTCTGCCCTGGAGAAAGCCACCTCCTATTTGGAAATGAGGTACAGGGAATTTAATCTGGACTCATTGGTTGGATTTTTGATGCTAAAAGGTAAAGTTACTTTTTCTTATACACAGGTTAGCTAGCAACTGAAACTGTTTTCACACCTTTCTACTGATGGTCAACTTTGCGGACAGGAGATGATCTGGAATTAGACCTTTGAAATTTGAAACTCAGGAAGGGTACATGCCTTTTGATCATTTGGTGTCCCTGGCCTTGCTTCTTTTAGCTTTTCAAAAATACAAGGAATTTTAAGAAACAAGAAAGAAAAAGTGGGAAACATAGGTCCTTAAAAAATGCTGCAGGCCAACTGGGTAGTCTCTGTGGCTCATTTTCTTTCAGCATTGTACTAACAAGATGGAAAATTTTTAACTATTTGTGTGAAGAACCCAAAATAAGGGCTCCAAGAAGAAAGGAAAGGTTCTCTCATTTAGCAGACTCTGCAGACTACTTATTTGGTCAAGGTCTTTACCAAGAAAGGTAAGAACATGGTAGGAGTTTCTTGACTATGTTTAATGACTTTTATGTGGAGAATGAGGAAGAACAGCAATCCTGAAAACTAGTTCAATTCTCCTTACTCACTTGGGTGTATGTACATAAGTAATGATCTTTTTTCTGCAGCCTCTGGAGGAAAAATGGAGTTGAGTTTTCATACTGCTTCATCCTTCAGCTATCTAGAAATCCTATCCCTCATATTTACAAAAGTCAGTCATAAGCCTCCTACATGTGACTTAATTCATTTTCACAGCAATGTTCTGTGGAAAAGGGGCACTTAATTTTTGGAAGGGAAGAAGGGATTTGCTATAGGGCTGAGCTTCCCTTGCTTCCAGACCTCTTGTCCCTCTTGCCTTCTGACCAATCAGGAGGCTGAATTGTAAAATGGGGTGGGGATTGGTACCTCCTGCCTGGTGGAGAGAACTAGAATAATGGTGAATTTTAGGCAAAGCAGCTTTTGCCTAATAATAAGTTGGAATGAGATTCAGATACATTTCTCTGAATCAGGAGAATCAAAGCACACCTATGAAACAAGATCTGATTCACATCTCTGCCCTGTTCCTTCACAGTACAGCTAAAAGGTGTCCCGGAAAAATGGGCCCATGACTCAGACATGAAAACCCTGACCTTGAGTGTTGAGAAGATAATAAAAAAGTTGACACTAATCATCCCCAAAGTTGAAGCTTTCCTCAAAATTATTGACTTCAAGTACTTAAGAGGTAAGATGGGTGAAGACAGAATTTCTTCAGTAACACAGGATTTGAAAATATTTTTCATTCTAGAGGTTATTTTCTAGACAAACTGGTCTAGCCTCCATGCTTAAATGATCATGAGAAACCTATGGAATTGAGTGGACAAGTAGCCATCCAGCCTCTTGACGCTTTACCAGGAACATAATACTTGCCTGAGAGGCAGTAGTAAAAATCTTCTCCCATCACAATTGCTTCAGATACTAAAATATCCCTCTGGCAACTCCAGAGAGAAATAGGCTTATGTTGGAAGCCCAGCACTGAATAACATATTTAATGGCACCCTAAGTAGACATTCTTATTGTGGTCAGAGCAAGGAACCCTCACTTTCTAATCAAACTGGGACTCCCTGCTTTGTTTTTGTTTTTTAATTAAATTTTTCCTAGTAATGATATTCTCTGGGGCTTAATGTGCCCATTAAGAACCTCTTCCTACTAATAGAATTCTATTTCCTAATTGATTTCAACCCTATATCTTGAAGGGCTGGTGTTTTCCATAAGTCCCAAACTATTTGCCTTCGGGGTGATATTTGAGGGTGCCATGGGAAAAGCATAGGCTCTGGGGGCAGAGGCCTTAAGTTTAAATCCTGACTCTAACAGTGCTTGTGTGATCTTGGAGAAGTCAGTTAACTTCTCTAGGCCTCCATTTCCACATCTGTAAAATTGTGGAGGTTGAACTAGCTGGTCTCTGAGGTAACTGCTATCATAACTCCGGAGTTATGATATTTGATTCTTGTAGACTCTACAATCTTATAAGAAATCTGGGTATGACAGAGGTATGTCTAGAAATCAATGGAACAGAAATCAAATTCTTAAACCAACATATATTGAACTATGTCATTACTGAAGTCCTTTCCAACTCTCAAATTCTATGATTCTGTGAGTAGCCATTGTCAGTCAGGCAAGATTCATTTAAGTGCTTACTATGTGCCAGGTACTGGGCACAGAGCCTTTGTATTGGGGATATAAAAAAGGCAAAAAATGTGCTCTCTGAACCCAAGAGCTAACATTCTAATGGAGGAGAAAATATACAAATAATAATAATATTGGCTAACATTTACATAGTGCCTCCTATGTGTCAGCCATTGTTCTAAATATTGTACAAATATTATCTCATTTGGTCCTAACAACAACCTTGGCAAGTTGGTGCTATTATTATCCCTATTTTATAGATTAGGAAAATAATGCAAACAGAGAGGTTAAGTGACTTGCCTGAGGTTAAAGAACTAATACGTATCTAAGGAGAGATTTGGACTCAAGTCCTCTCGAGTCCAGGCTCAGCACTCTATCCACTGTGCCAACTAGCTGCCCCAATACATACATACAAGATGGGTAAATAGAAGTTAATCTTAGAGAAAAAGGAATGGAGCAAAGGCAGGGAGAGGGAGAAGATAGACCAGAAAAGACATAGATTTGTCAAAAGTTACATAAATTTACTTTTTTTTTTTACTGTGTCACTGATCAAATCTTGCTCTTTCACTCTGACAGAATTCCAAGAAATTCTACAGCCAGAATTTTGGAAGCTCCCTCTTTCATGGAGTAACACAAGCTCCTCCATGATCTATTCTAAGTTTGACAACTCAAATCCTTTTCCAGAAAAATTGAGTGATTCTTGCATGACACTTTTACTAGGAACCAAGTGACTTTTGTCCTTTTTCTTTCTTCCCTGGATAGAAAAGTATTAATAGTCACCCTTCCCATACAAATTCTTCTCACAGTACCTGCTTCCATTTCTATGTGCTATTCAAGTCCATGTCCAGTTCTTTTAATGGCAACAAGGACCTGTGCCAGCATGGCCAGGCCTATAACTCTCTCGAACTTTATTCATTATTTTCCCCATATAACACTCCGGAACTGCTTGCTCCCCAGAAAGAACAGTAAGCCATGCAGTGTCACCAAGGTCTGCATGGAACTCATGACTGCACCTAACCAAAGTGGTGAAGAACTAGTGAAACAGCTCTCCTACTTCCAAATAGCCAAAATGGTAAGTGCCCAGTAGGTCACTTCAGAGGCCCAGAAAGCTGGACAGCAGCACCACATATTGGACAAGTATTTTAATGGCGCTAAAAATCAGAATGACAAATATGTTTTTCCCTTTAGTATGTAGTTTGTTCATATTTTTTCCTTATCTGTAAAGTACCTTAATTGCCTTTTAAGCAGATTCCAGCTTAAAGCATTAACTTATTTACAATTATTTGTATCTTCTCATGTTAGCAAGGATCTCTCCACTACTTTTTGGACTAGCAGAAGGAAAAGAAAAAAAAAGGTGTCTTTGCCTTCTGCTCTTCTGAATCTGACTGATGCTATTGATCCAAAATTAGAGGTGGGGACAGTTGTCAATAACTAAGAGTTCAATGAGGTGTTTTAAATTATTTTTAAAAATTCAAGAACTCAGTTGGCATAATTGGCTGTTTTTATTTGATAAGAATGAAAATAAGTAGGTGAGCGGATGGCATATGGGTCTTTGTACTAATAATCTCTCAGACCCTGCTACAGATATTCTTCCAAAAGGTAAAAAAGGGTTATTCTTAGACAACACTATAGTTCCAGGTACTTATGAAACAATCAGGGAGACTTTTGCAAAAGGAATCTAGGCAAAAAGTTTTACCTTAAGTATAGTGACAATTTAAAAATCCATCTCAAAAATATAACTTTTGCATATAAGAACTGCTACTCATTGCTACTAACAATACTCATTTCAATTCTCTCTGTTTGTCTGATCCCTAGAAAAAATGCTCAGGTGGCCTGTTCCTCCTATCAAAATACTACATGAACATCTTTTGTGCTAACATGATGGAATGGAACTTGAAAACAGAAAAAAATAAATCCTTGTTTCAAAATAAAAGTATCTTCATAATAAATAGTATGAACCTCCTTCCATTCTCCAGATAAGTGCAAATTATCTTCCTTACCCTTAAATGAAGATACACACACACACACACACACACACACACACACACACATACACACATACATTTTGCCTTTGTCACAACCCTGCTCCCCTAAACTACTGAAAGAAAGAGAGAACTTTTAACTGACATGCATCAAAAGCCCTTTGTGTGAGGGATAAAGAAAACCCAAATGTTAGAGGTTCTTTAGCTTGGAAACTCAAATCCCATCAGAATGTTTCATCACACAAAGAATCTATGAATTTCATCCAACATTGACTGAAACCTCTTAATGGGGGAGGGGATGTTAAAATGAAAGTTGAACTAGGCTGTGCCTCTGGTTGCTATAGCAAAGATGTAGTCTTCCCTACCAGCCAAGAGTCCCAGTGGCTCAATAGATTCAGTATTGCTCAGGTTGGTACTGAGCCCTGAGACACAGAAGGCATGTAAATGGGAATAGAGACAGGTTTATGGGAAGAACTGTCAAAGGCGCCCAGCATGTTAGAAAGATGGCTAATTCCATCTTCTTTTCCTTAGTCATGCTCTGTGGATTTTCTGGATACTCAGATTTCTACAAGATCCCTTGGATTAAGACTATTCTCAAATGGCAGAATTCTGAGGAAGGATGCTATTGGAAGATTTGTAAGTAAAGTTGACTGCCTTGGTGGTAGGGAAGTTAAGGAGTTAGAGAAGATAAAATGCTATCTGTCATATTCCATCAAATGAGGTTGTAACATCAAGTTCTTGGATTCCTTAGTAATATCAAGTACCATTTCCTCAAACATTTGATAAGGTGAGATTAAGGATATATGTGAGTGTGTCATGTTAGGGAGGTAGAGCTATTAAGAGTAAGGGAAGCTAGCTGGTGGTTAGTAAGAGCTACAGAGATTTGCATTTAAACACACACAATGAACAATAAACAGAAGGTCTGGAGATAAGGGCTAAAATATGTGAAGCTCACCAAATGGGATCTAGCTGGTTCAAAGGCCAATATTATAGAGAATACACAATGACCTTTGTGGAAGTCAGATATATGAATTATTGACTACATCCCCAAGATATAAATTAGACAGCCTTTGAGACCTAGTTATCAGTTACACTGCCTTCTACCATACTGGTCTCTTCTTTGATTGTTACATTTTTGAAAACCAAGCAGAGAGAATGGCTTCCAGTAAATACAATAAATGACAGTGAGAAGGATTCAGTTACTCCTCTGAAATTCAGAGAAAACAGTAAAGTTATTTCTGTCACCCTCACATCTTGACATCAGAGGTAGTCTTAGTTCCAGGGTGGGAAATGAAATACACAGCTTCTGGATACACAGAGAAGAGGCCTGGGAGGCAGCATAGATAGCTATTACACCTTATATAAGGTAGTCCAAGCTAATTTTTCACAACATCAATGACAAATTATAACCAAACCCCACTGATAAGTCACAAAACTCTGCTCTAATAGTGCTGAGCAAATCACCCATTTATAACATGGTTCCTGTGGAACATTCCTCTTTAATGTTATTTCTCTTAACACTATTTTTATGGAGAATGAATTAAAGGCATTAGGTGGATGTTGGCCTATACTCACTACTTAAAGCAAGAAGTAGGAGGTTTGGCATTAAGTTCTAGTCTCCAGAACTCTTAGAACAAAAGAGCAACAAATTTAAGAAGAACAAGTGATCACTGTGGGTGAGCAACTTTTGAGTCAAAGATTTTATTTGGAGAATTATGATGATGATGATTTACTCATCACAAACTCTTACTGACTGCCAATAGTGCAGTAAGGTCTTCATAAACATTAAATCAGACCCCTGCCTCTATGCCTGGTGTTCATAATCTCTATCCAAGGGACAGATAAGACAAAACATTATGACAAGACAAACACTTTCAGGGAAGCAAGGAACTGAGCTCAAGGCTTTACAATGGAGTTTCTAAGTTGAAATCATTCAAATGGAAGTTGTGAAAGGAGTTGACAACTTGCAAGAATTTTAAGGAAGAGGGAAAACTGTGGGAGAAGCAAAACAATTCTAGAACACAAAGAAGAAGACATCCCTCACATTTATATAGCACTATAAGGTTGTAGGCAGAAAAGGAAGCACATTTTAGAAGTGAAAAAAATACAAGAAGTTTCCCACAAGTCAGGAATGATGGAGATGAGAATAGATGAAGAGAAAGGAATTTGTACACATTCATGATATTCCCTTCTATTTCTTCTCTCACTAGTTGTCATTGGAAACCGGCCATTAATGAGAGGCAATCACCTTGAAGGTAAAATTCTTGAAAACAAATAATATGTATTTGAAGTACATGAAGGAAGACACCTAATCAAATTCTGTACATATCCTCTTCTCATACACATATACATCACATTTCACTATGAAAAAGTATAACTTCTCAGATATATGTATATATATATATATACTCACACATACATATATATATGTATATATACATATATATGTTGCATTTGCTCTTCTGGAAATATACATTTAGACCATATTCTTTAGGGGAAAAGTGGAGGGGAAACCATCTACATCAGTGTTAGGCAGTCCAGAAGACTGAAGGATGAAAGACTTGGGTATGAAAAAGTGGCAAGGATAAGAACAGTTGTGATATCATAGGCCTAATCTAAATATTTGCTGCAATTTCCTATTTCTCTAACAGTTTGATGCAGTGGTTTTTTTTTTTCTTTTCTTAGCTATTCATTTTCAGGTTTCAGCTTCAAGCAGAGGGCAAGGTAGAGCCCTGTTTGCTTGTTTTAGTCAGCATCTCTCTAAGAAAGATTATTGCTTTTAGTAGTCAGAGCAGCTAAAAAAAAGTAAACCAAATCTAGACCTTTTCAAGACCTTAGTCCTTGTTGGCCATCTAGTCCATCCCTATATCAAAGAATCTCTGCTTTAATATACCTGACAAGTGGTCATCTGGCCTGTGCTTAACGACTTCCAAGGAGGGGTGATCCACCAGCTTGTGAGGAAACCCTTTCTACTCTTCAAATTGTGAGGAAGTTTTTCTTCTTGTCAAGCCTACATTTGCCTCTTTGGAATTTCCATCCACTGCTCCTGTTTCTGCCCTCTGGGGCCAAGTAGAACAAGTCTTTTCCCTCCTGCATGTCACAGTCCTTCAAACAGATATGACAGATATCATATCCTCCATCCCAATTCTTTTTTTCTCCAGGCTAGGCATGCTCAGTTCCTTAGGCCTATCCTCATGTGTCATGGAGTTAGGCCCTTCACCATCCTGGTTGGGCTTCTCTGGATACTCTTCAGCTAATCAATGTCCTTCTTAAACTCTGTTACCCAGAGTTGAATACGAATGAGGTCTGAAAAGGGCAGATTCCATGGGGATTCTCACCTCCATATTCCAGAAGCTCTGCCCCTCCTAATGCTGCCCAAGATTGCATTAGCTTTTTGGGCTGCCACATCCTGCTTCTGACTCATATTGAGCTTGCAGTCCACTAAAACATCCAGATCCTCTCCAGAACACCTGCTATCTAACCACATTTTCCCCATATTGTATTGTTGAGGTTGATTTTTTTTTTACCCAAGTATAAAACTTTACATTTATCCTTAACGAATTTCATCGTATTAGATTTAGCTCAATGCTCTAGCCTGCCAACAACCTTTTGGATACCAACTCTACCATCCATCTCACTTTGCTGTCATCTCTAAAATGGTGAATATAGTCTCTATTTCTTTATTGATATCATTAATAAAAATATTAAACAGCATAGGCTTAAGCACAGATCCCTGGAGTAATGCACTAGAAACTTTCTGCTATGGTGACAATGGACCACAGATGTGCTGACAAATGCTTAACAATCAGGTTTTCCAGCCAAAAAAAAATAGATTTATATACCTTTAAGTTTAATCTGCATCATTAACACTTTCTTAAGTCTAAATAATGAACAAAACATACATCCAACCCTGATTTATATTGATTGCTATTTCTGAGTTGTAAATACTTACAATGAAAATTTAACAAATATCTCTTCCAAGTTGGGGAAAATTGTCTCCAGCACACCCTTGCATTAAACTATGTACAAATGGTCTTTGAGTCTACCACCCAGTGAGTTCTGAATCCACCTGATTATATCATTGTCTAATCCATATCACTCCATTCTCTATAAGAATAGTATGAAGTATTTTGACAGAAGTTTTGCTAACCTCCGGGTAAACTAAGTCCATAGCATTCCCCTCATCTACTAATTTCATAATCCTATCAAAAAAGGAAATGAAAATAGCCTGGAATGACCTGCTCTTGACAAAAGCAAACCAGTTTTTTGTCATCCTTTTCTAGAGGTTTTGTAACCCTCTCTTTAGTGATCCATTTGAGAATATTCCCAGGAATCAAGTCAAATTCACTGGGCCAAAGTCTGCAAATTGTATTTTTTTTTCTTTTTTTTAAATTGGGAAAATACTTGTTCTTCTCCAACTATATGGTACATCACCCATTTTCCATAATCTTTCAAATATTACTGACAGTGATGGTGTTCCTTTATAATTTCAGAAATTCATCCTTGAGCACCTCTCATTCCTCCTGGATTAACTTCTCCTGAAGCATTTTTGCTCCACGGAATCTTACCTATCTTTTTTTCTGAACCCTTTGAAAACTGCTTTTTTAAAACCTAGAGTATGTGTCAGACTATGCCTAGATTTCTTCTCCTCTATTACAAACTCTACGATAGAGTGGTGACTTCCCCTAATATTCCCATTGTTTCCACCCCAGCAACTACTTTCTCTCCATTAGGGAAAATAAGATCCAGAATAGAATTTCTCCTTGTGACTCCTCTATCTTTTGAAGGATGAAATTATCAATCAGGAAAGTCAAGAGTTTATTATCTGCTCCTCTTGGCACAGCATGATAGCTCCAGCATATGTCTGGATGATTGAAGCCTTTCATCACTCTGTCATAACTCTGTGCCAGGGTTTGTGATCTATTCCTCCAACTCCTTACCCATTTCCTCTTTACATCCAGATAGACCATAGTGTATTTAAATAACAAAAATTTCTTCCATTTTTCCATCCTTTGACTTCTACTCAAATACTCTCCATCACGCTTTTCCCCTCCAGTTCCTGGATTTCTTCATGTGAGTATATATTATTAATATACAATGCTACCTTTCCTTTACTTCTGTTTCTTTTTAAAAAGGTATATATATTCTTAGCCATAGTCTAGACAAAAGTTTTAACCTACCAAGTCTCATGAATATCTATGAGGTCACATTTACTCTCTTACATCAGAACCCTTAATTTCTTGGTTCTTTTAAACACATAAGTTAATTTAGTATTGTGGAAACAGAAGAAAGGATGTAGGATTGGGATGGAGGAGCAAGACAACTTCCATTTTTTCCATTTCTGCATGAGTCTGGACTCCAGCCTCCTCTTAGTTTATGTAAAATGGGAGAATAGCCTTGGCTCCTAGGGAAATTGTTCCAATGAAAAAACACATGTATGTGACACAGTTGAAGATGAAAAACCCTTCTAAATAAAATGAGACATTACCATATGAAATTAAATGTCCATACCTGAAGCTGAATAAATGAGTGATGACATCAATGTGGAACTATGGTAATCCTCAGCTCTTCCAAGTTGGTAAGAATTGGCTCCAGCACACCCTTGCATTGAACTATTTGCAAATGCTCTTTGAGTCTGCCATCCAGTAAATTCTGAATCCATCTGATTATATTATTGTCTGCTCCATATCATTCCATTCTTTACAAGAATAGTGTGAAATATTTTGTCAAGAGTTTTGCTAAACTCCAGATAAACTAAGTTCATAGCATTGAAACAGCAATGAAAAGCATATCTTATATGTAGCCTAACAAGATTATTTCTCCCTAGGTTGGTGTTCTTCCATAAATATAGCAGCAGCAGTTGCTTCCTTGGGTGGCTTTCTTTACTACTTTACGGATAATTTGCCAACCATCAATAAGCCTCATTAATGCCTTACAACAACCAATTAGTGACTAAAATAGATAACTCTGTACTTGATAACCCTTTTGTAATATGTTCCCTTGGGTCCTGAGTTTGCATATGTTTTGCAAAGTACAGGCAGCAGATTAGAAAAACCTTGTGTTATTTTCTAAATCAAGGCTAGTAAAGATAGAGGAAGGAGCAGAATAACAGTATTAATTGTATCCAGCAAAATGATTCCATGAATGGTCCCCAGGAATAATCAAAGCCAGTTAGATTCAATCAATGTTAAGCACCTTTCATGTGCAGATATCTGTGGTAGGTGCTAGGAGAGATACAAGGATGAATAAGCATGGCATGTCTCACACATCTTACACTGAAAATTTCTTTTCTTATCTCCTAATATAATACCCTTGGTAAAGTAAATTTCAGTCATCCCATGCCAGAAAATTCTGAAGCTGGGGATTCTTAGACTCTACAAATCCCCACCTATCACAGACCAGAAGATATTGCATATGGTTGGTAAATAGGTAAATGTGGTAAATACCAGGAATAGGATACCACAGTGAGCATAGTTAAAAGTACTTGCTTACTGAGGTAAGAACATTTCCTTCTCACAGCCCTTTTCATAATTAATTGTATCTAATTTTAAATTATAAATGATTATTCACAATGCCCACAAATATGAACTCTGTTGGCCCAGTGGACTTACCAAGTGTGGACTATTAAAGACTTCTTCATACTCTGCTCTGCTGGTGATCCCTTTTGGGGAGCCTAAGTATTATCTAATAGTCTTCCACAGCTTAGCTCCTCTGCTTACACAATCTGTGTAGCTATCTTTAGGGATAATCAGTTTTATAGAGGCATATGTCTAGACTAATAAATTAAATTTGCATTCAATTAATAGTGTAAGTGTTTTTTTTCCTTATTATTTAGGATTCAGGCAGAAATTTGGAAAAGGCCTGTGCTTTCAGAACCTACGAATACAAATTCCATAGTAATATGTGAAAGTATATTTAGGTGTCAGCTCTGTTATTTCCAATGTGGGAAATTTAAGCTTCTCTGAAAATAATGGTCCAAAAATAGCACTTTTATTCAAAAATGCACTGTCTAGTGCCAAATTCAAATCCAAATATAATGAAAGTACATCTGAATTCCTGTGGCTGAAGTCCTCAAACCTGTTATGTCTCCTATGGACCATGCAGGAGCCATAGGATGTGTCCATGTGCTGTCCATGGGACTAGTCATTCACAGCCAGTAGCTATCAGGTGTTTGAGAATCAGACTCTAGAATCCCAGGGTTAAAGGATACTTTTAAAGTCCATTTCATTTTCTTCCAAGATGGATCAGACTTAAGCCATCACCGAACAATACATAGTTATTCTACAGTAAGTGACCTCCTTAGGAGATTTTAAAACCTTCCTTAGTTATTACTCATTTCTATTTTAAATCCTGCCACCCTCCAGATATAGTGCAAAATGAAAAATAGTTGGTCACCATCTTCTGTAATTGAGAATCAGAACTAAAACACCATTTACTTCTTTCTAAGTTAAATAAATCCCAGGATTTTTTATCCTTATACTCTAAACATACATATATACATACATATGTATATATATGTTATATATATATATATACTCTATATCCTCTATGCTTTTAATCATCTTTATAGATCTCTTAACTCTTTTCATATGCCCCTCAAAGGAGCAGAATCAAGAGAAATGCCCTTGACAATTTACCTGATTGACTTGACTGATTCTTGATCTCATTAACTTCTGGGAAGTGGGTCAGAATCTAATATACATGTACCATTTGAATATAATCCAAGGATTTTTTCATGTTCAGACTGAAAATTAAAATTTTACTAGATAGAACTTTGGATAAAATTGGATTGAACCCCAACCAATTAATGTAGAATTTTGATATTACCTTCACGCCAAGGATACATTAGGTTTTCACCACAAACTAAAAGTAATGAATAACAGAAGCTGTAGACCCCTCCCCAAACCGTTTTGAACCCCAACACCTGAGAAAGGTCTAAAACCTGGATTGGCCAATTAAGAGAGACATTTCAGCCCACTCTGGGCTTAATTTACTATAATGCTTTGCGTGCCCTGGACATGAAATTTGTTTGTTCTCTGAGTGAACTCAAAATGCCCCTTTCTGTGTCAGTAACTACAGGACCAGATGACGCTGACCAGCATGCTTCTGTTTATGGTCACCAAGGACAGGATGCCTGGGAACAGACAGTCTTGAATAGTGAGACTTTTCTTATCTTAGTGTTTTGTGGACATACACTGTTATGTCATGTTAATGGTAAAAGAAACACAGATATGCTGGATCTATAATTTCAAATGACATGTTGACAATCTCCTATCTTATTGTATTTATAACCTATTCACTTAAGAAATTCCTTTCTCATATCATGGTTAAACATTTGGAGACCATAATTTTGGCTGCCATAGGCATCCTGAGCCAGGAAGGCAGGGAGAGATAAGAAGGAATTGCTCTGAACATATAAAAATCCTCTTTGTCCATCCTTGCGTTCATTGTCTTATGATGAGTTCCCAAGTGTATCTCTATATGCATGTTTCGCAAGCTTTCAGAGAAGTAAACATTCACATTGCAGGTTAATTTCGTTTGTCTTTCTAAGAATGAATTCAGTAAAAGTTGACAAAGCTTAAATTATTTCAGCAGGGGGAAAATGGCCTCTTAAATAAGAAATCTACTCACAAGTTGTTCTAAACAAAGTTGAATCACAACTAAACCTGTGGTTTGGAAACTATAAATATGTCAGAAGTACAATCCTAACATGACAATGAATTAAAAGAAAATTTAATATGATAAATATGGACTGTCACCAGTGTTTTGATTTATAATGTCCTAGGATAAAAGGTAACCTAAAATTGAATTTTCTCTCCACCATCCTGCAATTTGATACTCAGGATGAGATAGTAAATTCCTCACCTTTGAAGTTTATAAATGTGATTACTTAACAAGCACTTCCCTTCTTTATGATATGAGGCTTCATTCAATAAGAAAATAGCAGGCAAAACAGGAAGTTTTCTTTAGTAGAAAAGATGCTCACTCTGGAGTTAGAAGACTTGGGTTCAAATCTTACCTCTGATACTCACTATTTACCATGACCTATAGTATGACCCCCAAAGCCCTAGTTTCTTCACCTTAAAATGAAGGGGTTGGACTAAATGACTTCCAATATCCCTTCTAGTTCAAGATCTATGATCCTACGATATGTTTGAGGGGTGGCAGATGGTAGTGTTGAGGTTCAGGGAATCAAACATTGAGGTATAGCGGTTTAGGGGTACTGGGACCCAGAAATAGTGACATGCAGGTCCTGCCCGAATGAATTCCACCCAAGCCTTCTTTCAGCCAAAGACACAGTTTATTAGAACATTGATTGGGAGTGGGTGAGATTTAAAGAATCCGCCATATTGGTCAGACTCTTAAGGAATCTAAGCATTTGTATCACGAATGCAAGCAGGCCACATCTTAAGAATCTGAGCACCTTAATCAAGGCCAGATGGAACTTATATGAAAAAAGACTGTGGGAGGGATCTAGGAGTAGCCAAGTAGTCTAGGGTGACTGGAGATGGGGTCTAAGGATGATGTGGATGGGAGTAGCCACTAAACTGGGGTGACTGTGAGGTCACCAGGGACCTGGACCACTTGGCCAAGGCAGAATGGAGCCTAGATAGGTTTAAGGGTGGGAAGTGGCCAGGGGCCATAGGGAGGTAAGACAATGGAGGGCAAGGCTCAGTAACAATGAAAAGGGTAATAGAGATTTGGGAGATTGGGCATAGGCTGTAATAAAAGGCCAGTTGATGGGATTATAGCCTCAGGAGAATGCCAGAGATTTGGCCACAGTGGGAAAGTCCAGGGCTTTTCCTTTTTAGGGTCCAGATCCCAAACACATGGTCTTTTCCTTTTAAGGGTTCAGATCCCATCCCCATAAAAAATATGTCTAAAAGAATGTGTATATGTAGAGCTTATATCAGATAGCACGCAGTCTTGGGAAGGGGGGAGGAAAGGGAGGCAGAGAAAATTTAAAACTCTAAAGTTTATAGAAGCAAGTGTTGAAAACTAAAAATAAATTAATTTTTTTTAAATCACATGATAAGACTATTACTGAACCAACAAACTAATAAAAAGTGGGCAGTG